AAGAAGCCGCACTCACAACCGTGGGCATCAGCAAGTTGGTGAAATTTAAACAAAACAGCATTACATCTGAAACTCTCTTATTGTACCCAAAATACAAATTTTAGTGATTGCATGTGGCTTCATTAATTATGTTCAAAAGGATGAATACATAACACAAGTAATAACTTTATGATCAGTCAGTGAATGAAGGAGCTCAAGAGTGCAAATATAGTTGCAATAAAGTGACAAATATGCCCTTTTATGTGGTCATATATTGTTCGGCGACTCTCATTTGTTGTCCTTCCATTATGCAAAACAAAGGTGTGACAGAAAATTAGAAACAATTAAAAAGCACCTCTTATAATGTCCCTGATATAATCTAGTCTTCCATATGACTGAATTAACACCTCATTAACTGTATTAAAAAATATATTAGGCTGGAAAGACTGAATTTCTATTCCGATTAATTTTACATTGCATATAATTTATTAAATATCTACGTTTTAATTAATAATCTAATACTACATGCCTGGATGGATACAGAAACATACTACCAGGTAAAGTCCAAATAAAGATGGAAACTTTTATATAACAATAATAAACTGCATGTGTTAAAATAAGTCCAAAAAGAGAAAGAGTGTTCAAAAAAGATTTAACCTGTTGTTTCAACTCACCGCTTGTGGTGCTTCTCTTGGTAGTTGATTATGATGGTAGTGTCCAAGAGGTCTGAGTGGCTGTTAAATGCTGTTGCATTAAGTTGGAATAGTGCAGTCCTTTTATACACCACAGACTTAGAGACGATTATGACGCCACCTGCCAACAAACTGATGATTCTATCATCACTTGTACCCAAGCAGATCATTGATGAGGGATTGGCCGACTGGCATTCAGCAGGAGGGGGCAGCAGTTTCCTGTTCCTGAGACTGTCCTGAAGACACACATGCTGATGATTCTGAACGGGAATTATTTGAGTATTTTATCCATAACCTCTTCAGATATGGTCAAATGTAAGCACTGAGTTCTGGAGTTTTCTCAGAATATAGCTAATTATTATCACTGTTTTTCTGTTATGACCAAATATTATGTAACACCTGAAGCCGAGAACTTACTGGCATGAACCGTGACATTCTCCTTTCATCAGCAGTCTCGCAGATGGAGCTGCATTATAGCTGCTAATCCAGCCCAGCCTCCTTCCATCACACAGGTGAACACACCTGCTCCATTCATGTGAAGATTTACTACAGCGTCGTTCTGCAATCTGTACTGCTGATGCATGCTGTTCAGGCACATGTATGGACACTAACTCCTCATGTCACCTGTACAAAAAAGATTCAAATGTCTGAGATTAGTGGATATATTCAATAGAGCAAACCTGTCTAGCTACAGTACACTAAGGAGCCAGCTGTGGTATTTTAATTGAAGGTTGTTTCATTGAAGCTTGTTTATTATGTTCATTATAAGAAACACATGACTTTTTTCCTTTGTATTTTTGTATTTTGTCTAGCTGATCAATCAAATGGTATTTATTTCTGATGAAGAAATGTAGAGTTTACTCTTCACATTATTTACTGGACAGAGCCACTTATTGATCCGCGTGACTGTTACATGTTATGTGACTGCTGTCCAAATGATATGCACAACTTTGTAGATTCCAATCATAAATGATAAAGAGCTTGGTCTAGATCAGGGGTGGGCAGTTAATTTTCCCAAGGGCCCACATTCATCACCTAATTGTAACATCTACTCTTACCAGAGGCAGTTTAATTACAGGATGGGTAATGAGCTACCAGAACGATTTTTTAAATTAATTTTTTTGTAATTTTACACATTTATCTGTTTATTTATATTAATTTAAGCCCCAAAACGTCATGCTGGCAGATTTTTCTTTTATTAAAAGTACATCTTCATGATGTAGAAAAACTAAGACTAAATGTAGAAATGTCACTTATTTTTCTTATACTGAGATATTGCAGGGATTAAATTTCCATTTAAACTTCTTTACAGTGAGAGAGAGGGATATTCACCATTCCCGCCTATTTAAAGAGAAATCGAGTTGTCTGAACGACTTTAAATTAGTTTGGCCTATGTTTTCTACAGTTACTGGCTGAAGCAGGTGTAATGATGCCCTCTAGCGGTGGCAGGAAGCAGAGTCGTTGAATGGAGTGACCAACGACTGGCTCTGACAGGAAGCGTCTCTTGAGCCAATCAGGTTTGACCAAAGATCGTCTTATGTCTCATGTGTGTCACTCTGCAATAAAATTACTGTACGTCTCATTAATTACAGCGATTTAAAAAATTGACAATACATATTTAATTTGATTAAATCAGGTTTTTTTTTTTTTTACAAAGCAAGAGTTTCATCACGAATCTCTCAATCTGTTTCAATACGCCAAACTTGTAAATCATGTTTTGGTACCTGAAAAAGAAATGGAGTGAGATGTCTGTCCTCTACTACGTGCCACCGGTAGAGTTTCGGTTGAAGTCTGAGCATAGTGCTCCACGTGTGTTGTTTTGCTTTGTTATGCATTCATGTTAATTATTGTAGCATGGGGAAGAATAAGAAAAATAAAGTGTCCGATTCGGGGAAACAAGCGGGAAAACCTGGACAACGTCAAAGGTACCATAAGGAAGCTAATACGTAATGGAAAATGTGCTAGTTAAGCTAGTTAGCAACAGAAGCTAGCTGATACGGGCTCCAACCCAAGTTGTGAGCGATCAGATTAAACCGGACTTGTTAAAGTTTTAAGTGGGGACTTGTGTCTGCAACTAAACATGTTTGCTTTTTGTTTTTTCCTGTCTGTATTGTGTCCAAATTTCAGTAATGCCAAGCTCCAGAGAGACGGTAAACCCAAGAAAGCCAAAGAGGTGGACCACATTCAACATATCCCCTTCAAACTACGAGAAATAATGAAGGCTAAGGACAGAATGAAAACTGGGTCCCTAAAAGTCAAAAAGCCGAAAAAGGGTATGAAAAAAGTTTCTAAATATTCATTTTAGTGTCATGACTGTCGTGTATAACTAATAAAGACTGTGTTGTGTCTTTACCCATCTCACCTGAAGATAAATCAGAGTATTTTCTAGATGGAGACATACCTGTTCCACATTTCAAGAGGGGCAAACGGGAAAGCGTGAAAGCTTACGTGCAGCGGATGGAGCGTGAGACAAAACATGTCATGTTCCTCTCCAAAAACCAAGTAGACAGGAAGCCCGAAATGGATGCAAGCGAACAAGAGAGGCCTGCACACTGCAAATCTGATAAAAAGAAGGAGTGAGTACACTTTACACTAAACCCCATCCTTATCTAGTAGGTTTCATGGCATAGCTTGTCTTCACTTATTCTGATTTGTGGCTGGGTTTCTTTTTTAGTGTTGTGGCACTAATATTTTTATATGCGTGACATGGATTGAATAACAGTAAAGTATTGAAATAATGTGTAAATCTTTTATCAAAGTTCTTGATCCACAAACTCATGACATGACGAAAAGCAAACTTTGTAGCTGCTCCATCCATCACCATTTGTGTTGTACAGCAAAAAATCTGCAGTAATCCTCCAGAAGTTTTATTAAAACATGCAGATGAACTGTTAACTTAGCCTGATCCCGTTTTTTAATTATACAGATTACAGAATGCTATATAAAAGGTTATTTGAAATGGGCAGCTGTCCTATTTTACATAGAAGAAATAACTGCACCAAACAGGGGTGAGTTTAAGGCAGGGGTGGGCAACTCCAGGCCTTGAGAGCTGGTCTCCTGCAGGTTTTAGATATCACTTTGAATCAGCTGTGTTGGATCAAGGACACATCTAAAACCTGCAGGACACTGGCCCTCGAGGCCTGGAGTTGCCCACCTATAACACCGTTATAACATCTGTTTTCAGCAGCACAGAAACTTTGCGTGAATGCAGAGGGCAAACTTCAGAATGCTGATTTACCTGCTGCTCTTCATTGCAGCAACCACATTCTCCTTTAAAGCCTTACAGACACAAACTCGCTCTTCGCTTGACTTCTTCATACTTAAACACAAAAACTCATAAACATGAACTACCTCATCCCAGAAATAAAGCTTTGCCAGAGAGTGCTTTAGAGTCTTTACATATTTTTGCATTTAAGAAAATGTTGTTGTTTTTTCCAAAAAATTACATTTGATCTGACATGTAAATACAGTCAGTGGGTTTATGTTTGTTGTTTTTCTGACAGGTGTTGTGTGCAGCTAAACTTTAAAACACTGCAAGTTCTAAAATGGAAACCAATGAACAGTTCATTTTGAAAGACCTGTGTTTTTTCTCTTTTGAATATTTATTATTGCTCATTATTGCTCATTAATAAGACAAAGTATTTCTTATCCAATTAATCGATTGAACAATCAATAGATTACTCGATTACTAAAATAATCGATAACTGCAGCCCGACTGTCAAGTGTTACATTTTTAATGCCTACTGATTTTCTATTGGCAGGTATGGTAAAATGAAGCTACAGAAGCTACAGCAGAAAAAGGTGAACAAACAAGAGGACAAGATGGAAGAACAGATGTTTATAGGTAAGAATGAAGGTTTTACAAGGACATGTGGTGCATTGTTCTTTAGATGGGATCTGTCTTTGACTGTCACTCGGTTTGGTACTAATAGCAAGAGGTAGCATTTACCAGATATTATTTTCAACATTTCTTTGAAAGTCTGGGTCTTTTTGACATATTTAAAACACTAAAGGTCTTCGACACAGCACTTGCTTCAGTAGCATTTCTTTTTTCGTAGTACACCATCTACTAGGTAAACAAGGGTGCAGATGGAGGACATGCTGTGAGATATTCTTTCAGTAAAGCATTTTTTTTTTTTTTTGCAGTACTGTCCTGATCATTTCCCTCTGAGGAAATTTCAAACCTCTATCTGAAGTAATCCCAGATTCAGCTGTTAGAACAAAACAAACATTAAAAATTTGTCAGTCTGAGGCAGAGTAAAACCAAATGACGCAGAACCAAATCACCTCAGTTGTAGTTCCCCGTGAAATTAAAGCAAGGACCCAATTCAAGTATATTAGATGATGTGTTCCTGGTGTAAGCCACAATGGATGCAGTGTTTAATGCCTTCAGTTGACATAAAAATCAACCACAAAGTTACTGTTTATGCTCATCTTTTCTGTTTGTGCCCTTATAAATCTACACTGTTTCCTACACAGAAAGTGGGAAGAGCATTTGCATCTCTGGGGTTTACAGAGACTGGTCCAAAAACAAATATTAGTGTGTGTAGATAGATGGATAGCCTACCTATGTATAATCACATTCTACGCATCCTATGATCGCTCACAAAGCTCTCAAACCAGTTTCTTGAATATGACAATGAGTTCACTGTATTCGCATGGCCTCCACAGTCCTCATAACTCATAATAGACTCATAATGGAACGGGAAATGTTATGGATGTGCAGTCCACAAATCTTCACCAATTGTGCGATGCTGTGATGTTAGTACGCACCAAATTCTCTGTGCCATAAATTAAGGAAGTGCTGAAAGCAAAACGAGTTTAAGCCGTTATTAGGACAGTGTAGCTAATAAAGTGACCAGTGTATAAATCAGGTGTTATGGTTAAAAGTTGTTGGGCTATACAAACATGGAAAATGGCAAGAAGTATTTAATTAAGGCAGCTTAACATGGCAACGGTGAGTAGTCATTAAAAAAATCCCTGTAGTTAAATGATGGCTTTTGTTTCGTAGATGATGTTCCTTTTGGTGAGGTTACAATGGCCCCTCCCTCTTTGAGTGCCAAACCAAGGAAAGCTGAAGTCAAATCTCAGGTAATCACACCGTGCATTGATCACATGATCTCTCATCGAACCATGCAGATGGTTCATAAAATCCTATTTCCTTTTTTTCCCCATTTCATTGTGCAGAAAGCATCAAAGGAGCTGCTCCTAAACTCTCTTCTTGGCCATACTGCAGTCTCCACTACAAAGCCCTCCATGGCCAAACAGAGAATCATGGAGGAGGAGCGGGAACGAGCAGTAGAGGCATACCGTCAGCTGAAGAAACAGAAACAGCAGCAGTATGAAGCTAGGACTGCAAGCATGAGAAAACTCAAAAGCCTTCATTGATGTTGCTTTTCACTCAGCTCATCTGCAGTCAGTGTTCCTGGCAGCAGCAGGGCTGAGCAGTGATCTGTAGAAACTGTCTAAATAAGATGGAGAGCTAGCCACATTTGAGATTAATATCTGGAGGAACTTTATGCATCCATAGGCCACTGTTGGAGGCTCCTGTAGCTCAACAGGTACAGCAGGCTGTTTGCTTTTCATGAAACTGGCAACATACCACTCCCACGCTGTCTAAAAGAGGGGGAAAATGTGTACTATTCAAATGTCTGTGTGTGCAAGGGTGGATGTGGCTCCTTGTGTAAAGCGGTTGGTTGAAGGGCACTGTATAATTCCATTTTATCTTTAGGTACACTAAACAACACTGCCGCTTTCACAACGTTGTTAATTTAAAAGAGTGAACGGCTTTCAAAGTGCTTTGTAACACTGCAGAGTCATTTCCCAAGTCCGATGGAAAATACATGGAGATATTTTGCCTATGCTCATTTATCACCCTTGGAACGCTTGCGTATTTCATCATTTGTATTTACAGTTTTTTCACATTTGCATGTTCAGATAACCAAATTCTGAGGTCGTCCGTCATGTGATGGACAGTAAAATCCATCCATCAGGTTATTTCAAAGTAAAGATGATCCTCTGATTGTTTTTAGTGGTCCCACTAGATGGCACTCCTCTTGTACACAGCCGACATAACTTGCTCATTGTTGGTGCCATATTATATATTGAAGTATTTTATATTGTTGTTAAATGGTTGAGTGGTAATGACTGCATTTTATATAGAAAATGTAAATAACATGTTGAGAGAAACCATGAGGTCATTTATTATTAGATGTTTTTGATTTTTTTCCATGCTCCTCAGCAGATGTTTGCTGTTTGTTGTCATATTCCCTGTTTTTTTTTTCCAGAGCATTTGAATAAATCTGGAATTGTCATCCACACTGATGTTCAGAAACATCAGCTGAAAAAACAAATATCCTCATGAGACCTTTTTAGCTGTTCTTGGGTTTAAAGTCCTTTGCAGCTGCTGTTTTTTGTTTGTACGTCTGTGATAGCCTCTGTCTTGGGATAAATGAGCCATTAGCCTTTTTAAATGTGCAGCATTTATTAGAGCCTGGCACAGCTATTTATATTTGTAATCCTTCGAAGGCTTTACACTCATGAACGAAGCCATTGTTTAAATATTTGCATATGAGACGGACTGCGCATATTCAAATCTTTGTTCAAAAACTTTCAAAGCATGCTATCTAAGGAAAAAAAACCACATTGATAATATAATGCAATAGTGATCAACTGAATAATATGACCAGATGGTGTCAATACAGAATTCTTCTTATCTGGTTCGTGGGTCCAATCACTGCTATTTAATCAGCTTGACTGGTGAAACCCTCAGTCCATATTTGTCCTCTGATGGTTGTCACAGTGACACGGAAATGTATTAAGTGGGGACAGCTGCTGGTGATTGGGTGCACCGACTCCCTTGAGCTGAGCACATTTGCCATTGGTTATATTCCACCTGTGTGCAGGACAGCTGTTCACATTATCAGAGCTTTACAGCTGTTTTTCACTTAGGATGTTAAGATACTGGGTTTTTTTTACCTTCTTCTTCTTCTTCTTTTAGTTGAATTTACTGACCCCGGAGTTACGTAATATACAAAGCTTCAATCGTGTTAGCGTATTTATATAGTCAAATATTTCAAGTGCAGTGTGACACATTGTGAGTTCTCTGTATTAAATGTTTTACCAACCATCCAAAGGTCCGCTGGGAAGCACGAAATCTAACCAGACTTGAGCAGTTTCATTGGAAATATTCTGCTCTGTTTATGTCCACATGCAGTGTTTCATTTTGGATATCATGCAACGCTTGTTTTTTTCAGCCAGATCAAGAAGGTGATACTGAAGGTTATTACAGAGGAAAACATCATTTGCTTATGTGTTCTGTTGTTCAGTGCTGTCTGATTTCCTGTTAGTGAGCAATTTATCTTCCGATCAAGTACCCATGGCTGCTGACAGTACAGGATGGGAAAGAGTAATTGGGAGAGAGACATTTAAGCCTGCTGCTAGGCAGCCACTGCTGACTGAAGCTTTTAAAGACGTGTGAGTGTGTGAGCGAGATAAATTATATTAAAATAATTGTGCTTGTCATGTAGAGAAGACAGACTACCTCTTGTGAGTCAGAGCAGTTGTAGATGAAAATTTTCGCAGCAATACGTACGCAATATTAATCTGTTACCACAGCGATTGATGATTGGATTCAGCAGCATTACAACAACATCAGCTTGACTATCACAGCGGTCTCCCTTGCTGAACTACAAACTGAGGCATCACAGAGCCAACCCCTGGATGTCGTGCTAGGTGCCAGGCCAGGCTTATCAAGCAAACATATGTAAATATTTGAAGCAGTAAACTTAGCAATCCTGCTGACATGATGACACTTCCTCTTTTACCATCCAGTACCTTTCGTTATTAGTTGATTCTTTCTGCAATCCAAAACGCCAGAGAATTTAACTGAAATTTGTAGGGCTGACACCTTAGAATTTACACCTTCACATTTATTCCATTCATGGCTAAAAGCCACATTTTTGCATATGATTACATCATTATAGTTACACAAATTTACAACTAAGTATGTTATACTGTGGTGATCATGAACAAATTCTAATGCATACACACACACACATATATGTGTGAACGTGTTAGAATTTGTTTATATATACGTGTGTGTGTGTGTGTGTATATATATATATATATATATAGACAGATGATATATACACATCTGTATACACATATACACACACATATCTTGTATTTGTTGTATTTCACTATATAATCTTTCCTCTGTAAGCCCAGTGTGGTTTGCATCATTATAATAATGTGTGGTTTTGATGTACATAGAGCAAGCATTGCATAAGCATTAATGGAAACTAAGCAGTCATATACTGAATATTACTGGACTTTCACTCTGTTATTGCTTAAGAGAAAACAGAGATATAAAATATCTGATTCTTGGAGCTCTGAGATGGAAAAGCTCAGTGCAATGTGCTCGGCTTGGGCTGCTAACTTATGATAGTCCTGAAGATGTTTAGGAATCCACTGAGCACGACTAGGAGCTGCAGCTCCCCATATTCAAAGGGCCAGGTGTGGTTCGAAGTATCATTGAGTCTTGGTCCTTCTGTGAAAATACACATATGGATTATTTTCACATGTAATATGATGAAGACGGGATGTTTCGTGATTAAAAATAGCACTCACCCTTGTCAGACCTTTGGCAATCAAGGCTATTTCAGTGGGCTGGTATAAACAACTTCGTGCCTGACCATTGTAAACCCCATATGGAGACGTTGGATTTGTGGATTCTGTCATAAAAAATGTTATTTTACAGTCATTACTGGATTCATTTTGTTGTCTGTGTGCAATCTGTTGCAAAAACCTAGAGCCACTCCCAATTTTTTTAAATTATTGCGCTTCCAAGGAGCTACACTTTCTTAAAATTGTCCAAGTGATGTTGAGCATCAGTTGTCCATTCTTTCTGAAGTTTTGGGGTTTTTTTTAAAATAAACAAATTGATACCCAAAGTGCCTTTAGCCAGAGGTTTTGCATATCTCAGCATGGTATAAGCATATATGTGTATGTGCTTGTATGTAACGAAATTTGCTACATTCAAACTGGCATTGACGTGGATAGAAAAATACAGAATGGGACATTATATATTTCAGTAATATTGTGGTCTGAGCCTCAACATTACGGAAGAAGTTTGGGTTTGGGCCAGAAAAACATTCAAACAAGGTACAAATAAGGTACAGCCACACAGCACTGTTGACAGAACACTGTCCAAGACTGCGGCAAAAGTAAATCCAGTCAGAGTTCGAGAAGTATTTCTGAAGTCTACTTAAAGAAATGACAAGAACGTTTGCCTAAGAGAATCCAGCCTTTGTTAAAGAATAAAGATGGTGATCCAAAACATTCTCCTTCAAACTCGTTAGAACTGTGCTACTTGGCTAATGTACTGTCTTGGCATGTATGTTTGTACAGTCATATGAGGTGGCTCAAGACTTAAACCTAAAAACCATTATTAAACCATTATTAACAACTGAAATGGCACAATTTAATATATCTGCTGTTTGAAATTGTACAGTGAGAAGAATCAATATATTCAGCATTACTTGGGAAAATTAGGCACCACACACACCCTAGATATTTCCTAACATTGAAGCAATCTGTACTATGAGCCACATACTTTAAATGATAACAGTATAATGTATCCTGTATTGGTATCGGCTGATACCAGTTGGGGTCCAACAGTTAAACCTGATCATTGATCTCAATATTTAGTGTGTTGAGAATGTAAGGTTTGCGAGCAACAGACTTCATATTGCAATGCAGTGATTCTTCGCAATGGCAATATGCTTTGTGCTGATAATGTGGGTTGTGGATAAATAGGAAAGTGGTATACAAAAACAGCAATTTTCAAAATTCAAAACAGTAAACTGGAGAAGGTGTACTGTAGCCAGCGTGGGTCTTCATTTGCTACACTGATGCATTATGTAATATACCACGCAGTGCTTGTTATCAGTTTGGAATAATCCAAACGTGTCTCAATAAAATTTAGAAATTAATTCCTATTGATTACTTAATTACTACTTAATAAAATGTATTAATTCTAATGATTCTGTACCCACCTAAACAGTATTAAACTGCTGAACTGTGAAGTTAATGGCTGACCATAATGTGTTATGCTGTACCTGGTTCATCCATAGAAAAGGCTTTATTTTCTACGTAGACATGCTGCGGGGTGGGCTGTGGCTCCTTCAGAATGTTGTCATAAACCAGGCTTCTAGCAGGATAGACTTCTTCCCCATCGGGTTGTTCCTTGTTTGGGTCCTCCTGGGTCAATAAACAGATTTCTGGAATTGCATAGAACAAGAGGAACACCCAGGCATTTGACACCACGGCTATAGCCATAGTCGGATCGTCCCAGCTGGAATTATCAACTGCTCGGTTCCCATAGATGTACATGACAATCCAAGCTGTCCAAAGTGCCAAAGTGAGGACTCCTGTGACCAGGATAAAGGCTCCATCTCGGCGCCAGTGCTTTTGCTTGTGTGTTAGTGAGGGCACAGACGTTAGCACCACAGCTGCTATCAGAACCATTACATATATAAGGGCCATCACAAAGTCCCGGCTGACAAAGCTGCAGGCCAGGTCAGGAACACCGAGACCTCTGAGTGGGCTCCTGGCCACAGTAATGACAAGCCACTCGGTGTTGATGATCACCTCGACAAGCCAGAGAGCCAGGGCTCCCAGCCATAACATCCAGCTCCTGGGCCCCTGGCCTCCCCTTTGCAGCAGGGCAAGCCACAGCCCATGCATCACCAGGCAGGCCAGACAGCCTGAGAACAGTACTCCAAACAGGTACCTCCGTGCAGCACAGGTAGTAGAATACTGCTCCACAATAAAGGCAAAACTAAGTCCAAACAGACCCAGTGTGAAAACTAAAATGCTGGCCTGCAGGCCCACCATACCCTTTCTCTTCTTGTCTGTCACAAACGGTAAGCTAGCCATGAGAATGACGAACAAGATAAAGGCAGTCAGCACACCAACAGCAGCAACAGCTTCCACTACGATGCCCCATACTGCTGTCAGGTCACACAGATTATAATATATGGAGCTCACATCACCACCACATCCTTTTGGAGCACTAGTTGGGTCCATCGCTTCACTGCAAAAAAAGAAACAAAAATAATTTGATTACTTCAACATACATGTTAATATTGTAGTTACAGATTTCATTAATAACATCCCTGATTATTACAAAACAAACTATTGGTTTAAATTGCAAGTAATATTACTGTAATAGTTTAATATTGCTCACACAGTAATATTACTGTGTGAGCAAGTTAAATGGTGCCATGCATATACAGCTGTGCCATTCCACTGGAGTTTCAATATGAAAATGACCTCATTTCTATTTTATGGAGTTTTAATGTGCCATACTAATTACTGTAAATTCAAATATTCATTCTCTAAAGAATCCTGGAATTATGTACTGCATTCCCTGGCTGTAATTACAAAACTGAGTCATTCTACACAGAGCTTTAGTCACCGCTCACTCTATAGCCTCCTAAGACCAGCAGCATTTCAGCATTTTACCATGACACCTAATGAGTATTTCCACACAGTATCCCTGTTCCAGTACGCACACAGGTGTCATTCAGGAATCATATGTATTTTAATAGTAGAATGTATAGTTGTAGGTGTACATTTTAAACCAGTTATTATTGAACGGCAACTTAATTATTGTTTATTCTCTTCTTCTGACTGTAACTGTAATATAATAATTAAAGGACACGACATTCAAAAATGAATATGCTTTTTATGCGAACTTTCTGACTGTGAAGATTTCAGATAAAGGTGCCTGTGTGGGATGAGAACATCGTCCTGCTGCTTATTTAATAATTATATTATACCCAGTGAGTTAGCTTAGTTAACTAACCACAAAAACAGGACAACAAGTTGTTTATGATTATTTATATAACAGAATCGGAGAGCCTTAGAGGGGGAGACAGTTATGATGTTATAAAAATAAAAGACAAACAGGTTCAATCAGGAATCTTTGCGTAATAACACGAGTCTCTTACCAGGATTGCAATGAGAGCTGTTCCGCTAGCCTCTCCAACAGGTAACAGGTAGATTCAGTCCGATAAAGATTACTGACCTCCGAAAAGAAACTTCCCTTGCACGAACGAGTTGATTTTTTATTGGTGGTAGTAGTTCATCTCCATTTTTACAACACTTCTTGATGCTTCGACCAATAATTTCTGTGCGTCAGGTGTTGACTTTTGTTTTGTTTTTTTTTCGGGCGGGATCAGAAACGGACCTCCATCGGCCACTCCTCTTTTATTCAGGCATCTTATAGTGACCTCACAGGTAGTCCCAACGAAGTAGTTGCTTCTTTTAGTTGTTATTAATATTCTGTAAAAGTTCTCTAACGACTAACCTCAAACCACTCTGCTCCTTCCCCAGCCTCTGGTATCTACAGCTTTGCATATTCTTTGAGATTAGCACCCGGCCTACTTATTTATTTCAGGCAGCTTACATCCAAACAAAGGGAGCACTCATGTATACAGGCTATGCGAAGTGGTATGACCCATGCAAACACGCCGATCATCGATGACTTTAACAGGTTTTGTAATTAGGTCAATTTTGAGATTAGCCTTGAAATACTCAGCTCCTGCGCATACAGCAGCGTTTACAGTTGCCTATTTTGCGCTCCTATTGTGGAATACAATGACTCACATTCGTATTTTGGTTCAGATGATTAAATCCAATACTGCATATCAAATTTCTGAAATATAGCATTATTATTGCCCAAATGTCTAGGCTACTTTAGAGCAGTTACAGTTACAGGAGGGACTGTATGGTAAGCAGAGCCACCTGGTGGCATCAAGGCTGGGCTGAGTCCTGTGTTGTTCAAACAAATTGGATTACACAACAAAATAGATCTTTCTATTGATCCGTTGTACAGTAGGACATGTCAGTTAAAAACCATAAGATAAATAAGCACATTAGTGAAGGATTGATTTTAAGCTTTTAGACTGTCAGTTTTTCAAAAAGCTCTGCTTTATTTTATCTTCCATCAGTAACTTTTCCCCCCATTCCTGAAAGTTATTCAGTGGTGTTTTATGCCATAGTCTGTGTTTTGAAGTGGTTGCAGATCTGACAATTTATAAAACATAAACATGATTTTGGGTCAGGGGGTTAAACATGTTTTCAATGTTGTGTTTCTGTTTGCACTCTTTTTTTAAAAGCAGTCTCTTTCTCCTCTAATTTTAATAAACTACAAAAAAATTTTTAAAAGTAATAAAGTTTTTGTTTTTTAATTCAGTGTAATATAAGAGTAAGCGTCTCCTCACTGGCTTCACTGGCAAGTACCAAGGTGGACCTATTGAAGACAAACTATGGAGGACGTAATCGGCTACAATAATCAAAGCAGGAGAAAACTGAAGTCTGCAATAAATGTTCACAATTATTGGTTGACAGTAGAGGTGTGACGTTTTTCAGATAAAAGAAACACAACTGGATGAGCTGTGACATAAGAAATTAGAATCAGAATACTTTATTAATCCCAAAGGAAATTATATAGTTACAGTAAGTACAGAACAGACTGAACTAAATTAAATAATAAAATACATTTCAAAGTTAAATATAAGAAATAGCTCTAATATATACAAATAGCTCAATTAGAAATATCCAGAATATTATCAAGATTAAATATATATGATTGACATTTTACCCTAAACTGAAAACTATAAAACTTTGCAACTATTGTACTGTGTACTGTGCATTAGATGGAGGAGTTGTACAGGGATGAGTGATTTCTTATGTTCTTCAGTCTTGCATTTGGGTAATCTCAGCCTCTCACTGAACCTGCTCCTTTGCAAGCATGTCATGGAGTGGATGGGAGGTATTGTCAAGCATTGTCCTTATCTTGGACAACATCCGCCTTTCCGAAATCACCTTAAGGGAGTCCAGCTCTATCCCCACAAAATTCCTGGCCTTGCAGATCAGATTTATTGAGTCAACCTGCCACCTCAGAGAAAATCATGACAAATGTTAAAATACCTCAGCCGCTTCAGAAAATAGAGGTGACTCCATTCCTGTAGCACTGGCACTTTAACCCTGTCTAGTTTATTATCTATGTGTACTCTGAGGTATTTACAGCCCTCCACACTGTCCACATCACAGGTTTCACAATCAATTTTTTTGGTATTGTCACGTTGAACTGCAGATGATTCTGCTCGAACCACATGACAAAAAGGAGTCCACCACAGCCCGGTACTCCATCACATCACCCTCACTAATGCATCCAACCACCGCAGAGTCATCAGAAAACTTCTAAAGATGGCAGGTCTCTATGGTGGCTGAAGTCTCAACAATCCAGGACACAAGAGAGGCATTTATTGCATTGCTGTCAGCTGATCACCCAGGAGGGTTGGCCTGATACTATTGAATGCACTGGAAAAATCGAAAGAGATGATCCTCACAGTACTCACCGGCTCGTCCAGATGGGCATAGACACAATTGGTAGATGATGGTGTCCTCAGTTCCGAGGTGGGGCTGGTAAGCAAACAGAAGCAGATCCTGATGTGGTCTGACAATAGGTGGGAGCTGTTCAAGGATAAGTCTTTCCAGGGTTTTCACGACATGGGAAGTCAGTGCCACGGGTCTGTAATCCTGGGGGCCACTGAGACGTGGCATCTTTGGTACAGGAACAGAGCATGACGTCTTCTACAGTAATGGGACCCTCTACAGACTCAGACTCATCATGAACAGTTTATAAAAGACTGCACAGGCTTTGAGGACATGGGGACTCACCCCATCTGGTCCAGCAGACGTGCCTGAGTGGAGTCATCTCATTTGTCTCTGAATTTGTCTCTATCTGCTTAGACATAATTCATATTCTTGCTCAGAAATAGTCAACTTCTGTGCATTAAAGCATATGAAAGTTTTATGTATTTACATTCATTTAACTTTTTTTTTTTTTTTTGAAAATTCATGACTGTCTTGTTTGAAACCCTGGCTAACTGATGCTTTCCCTCCCTGTTTAGAACAAGGGTAAGGTCATCCAGGGCACCTTGCTAAAGCCGGCTCTGGCATCCAGCCTGTACTTAACTTATTGTTTATACTGCGTGATGGAGCCCCCCATGGTGCATTGATCTCTCAATGGATCTTGTCCCCAGGGGTGCTCTCACAAATCCAGCAGTTTGTCAATCCATCCTTTTGCATTTTGGTCCGCTCAGATTCTTAATAGGAGGTTAGATCGAAGGAGAAAGCAATGTGACCTAAATGAAGGACATGCACTTTTCAGAGCTTTAGGCCTACTTTACTGTGAATTCTGCTTGCATATACCAAGTTCCTGAACTGGTAAACCAAACGAAACCCAATTGATACATAAAAATATTCATAATATTTACATGCAACAAAACAGGCTGAGTAGTTGACATAAGTCTCAGTGTGATGTCTATATTTTCTGTCTAAAGCTAAAACAGACTGAGATGATGAGATGCTACCATATATAATCCTGTACCCTGTCTGTATTGTCTTGTCCAGTTTGTTGCAGCAGACCTCATTAGGACACCTCAGCTGCACTGCTCTCCTTTGAGAACATGTCAGGTTATTCATAGAAGTGGCTCAGGTTTGGGTCTCACAGGACATCTCTTCTCCTGCATTTTTATTGCAGCCTGGCAGCCCTCAGCACTTCACCACAACCCAGTTCCATCTGAAATGGCCGCTCTCCTCGTCTTTCCCAAAGTAGGTAGATGGGCATAATTTTTAAAAACACTCATCACATTGTTCTATTTCACTGAATATCGCAACTAATGATCTTGCAATGATCAAAAAACACCCAATCTATATATTTCAAGAATAGTTTAGCAGAGATCTCAGTATTGAAAGACCCATCACTGACAAGCAGTTCAGTACTAGCTGAGTGTTAAATAAAGGTTAATTTAGATGAGAATGCAAACATCTCTTTGAACCCAGGGGACATGATTGAAGGAATTATGTATTGTTGTCATGGTTGCTATCTTACATCAGAACCTACTGAATATAGGTGTACCCCACCTACTCTGTGTTTTTTGTAATTCTCTACTGTCACGTGGTTAGCTCACTTTTGAATCATTATAGCATTTAATATTGATTTTTATAGATGGGAGGTTAGTATGTTCCCTGCAAGCAGCAAACCATTACCTCCATATCTAGCTGGTATTTATACTAGATACTCTCAATAAGTACGCCACACTTTGTGGTGCACTGAGTGCACCTGAAAAGGAAGAAAAGGGAAAAAGTTTTACAAGTACTTAATGATGCACTGGGAAGTCTCATAAAAGCTTATTTTACATGCCCTTTGACGAAGAGCAGAAATTCCAAAGCACATGCAAAAAAAGTCCTGATTGGCACTTGAGTTTGATAGACAAAGCTTGCCTCAAATTGATGCGCAGACCCAGCACCAATGAAATTATCCTCACATTAGTATGATTAACATGCCATCAAAGAAATAATTGCACTCAGCTGAAAAATGGTCTAATAAATGGATTACGAAATTTGATTAACTGCAGTTGGTCACACACATTAGAAACTCAATTACTTTTGACAGATAGTCTCAATGCAACCTGCAGTAATTAACTGATAAATTACACAGCTCTGATTATACTGAACTTAGGTACCATAAAAGAACATTTTCAGCCCAGAGATCTGCTGCAGTTTAAGTTCCATTAAAATGTGAAACTGTGTTGTTATTGATTCTTAATAGTGGCTAACCCCCACTGACTTTAAACTAAAAAACATTAAGCTGAGTCCTTGGCTGGCCCGGTGTTGCAGATCAATGCCATGTAACATCCAAAAGGGAGAAATTCAAAATCAAAGCTGTCGCTATAGCAACGCCCCTGCCAGATTCCACCAATCAATGGAGTCCGTGGGGTTGTGAGATGCGCCGGGGAAAGGCCAGCGTCCTACATAAAGAGTCCAGGGCAGGGAGCCGGGCATCACACAGGGCAACACACCTTTCTGCACACACATACGACAAAGGCAAAGCAGTGAGAAGAAGAAGGGTTAGGAAGAACGGAAGAGTGGAGAAAAGGACAAAGGAAGAGAAGGAGGGAATAACTAAGAAGATATGGTACGCTCATGTGAACAAGAGATTCCTGCCTGGGTCTGTGTGGGCACCCTGCTACTCTTGATCCACTCTGTCACAGTTAGCGGAGGTAAGATAGCAAATTAAAATCAGTAGTTTGAATTTTGCTACTAAAGAGTCTTCTTGCCTTTACATCTTTTTTTTTTCCCACATCCTACACTCTAAGGGAAGCTGTATTGTTCTATTTCAGTCCAGCTCCCCCCATACAGTCATGGGTAGTAGGGCACATCATGAATGTGTGGCTCGTGCCCAGCCTCAGGGCAATGGAGGGGTATTTATCTGTTCCACTCATCCTGTCCTCATCTGTTTGTGTGCCGGGTGCAGTGAAAGACGGGCAAGTCCATTTGCCACTAGGCTTTGTGCCAGCACAGTAGTACGGCAGAGTACAAGTGCTGAGAGGGAAATCTCCTCTACTCCTTAAAAGAAGGGCTGATTGTGACAAAAGTTATCGAAGGCCACATTATGCTGCTGTTTGATGTGTGTACACAGACTCATTTAATTCTTATTTATTAATGTGTATAAACCAATTCATGTTGATAGCTTTTTTCAAGCTTTAGTAGAAGAGGCACTACTTTTTAAGTTGTCTACTTTTAACTGAATTTCACATTTGTTATTCTTTTTCTAAAGAAATTCTGCAAAAAGATGTAACAGCCATTGTGGGTCTTGGGATTTATATTTTTTAATTGATCACACCATGCCAGAATCATTTGTCAATACACACTCCCATATACTCAGCTGGATCACAGTGCTGGCTGGCTAATTGGAAAAATGTTACTTTGAAGTGGGAGCTCTTGATTGCAGTGGAGAAATAAAGACTGTGATGCATCCCGGGAAGCCAAGTGTGCTCCCCCTTGTGTCTCATTAAACCCCCAGTTAACAGGCCAAGAAGGCTGCTGATGGCTGTGGCAGAGCAGAATGGAATCAGCGACTTCTCATGCTGAGTCTTTCATGTATGATTCTCCAGTATGTGCCACTTGTATTTATGCTGAAGAGGACCCATAGAAGAATCCATCTGCAATGGGGCTGCAAACTCAGGATTCATTTTGGTGCACCTGGTATCTGATGTTGTCTGAGTCAGCCACCTGGCTTGTTGCTCTCGCTCCCTATTAATTGAGAAGAGAGGTAGAGAAGGATGTGCAAGTCTGCTTTTCCCCCCGGCGCATTTTGCCAGTTGTGGTTTAGTCGAAAGAGGTGTGCTATTCCAGTTCTAGATGTGTCAGATATGATTTAACTTGTAAGAAAAAAATAGAGAAAGAATCAATCTGTAATCAGAGATGAATAATACATTTTCTTTAAAAAAAAAAAAAAAAGCTCAAGTGATTGTTGAGTTTCTGAGAAGTGGAAATCATCTTGCACTATTTTTTCCCCACAGCTGCCCTGAAGCATGATGTGGCATTGGATAGTGGAGCCACAGTGCTAAATCATACTATGAATTTAGTGCATCGTATGGAGACCCTGCTGGCCCTGGGAAACGGCAGTGATGTCACTCTCCGTGTGGAGACCATCAACACGGACGAAGTGAAGGTGATCCAGGCACACAGCCTGGTTCTTACCCTGCAGAGTGATGTGTTTGAGGAGCTGCTGCTCAGCCGCAACACCAGCTCTGTGGTTCTGAGGGAGACGCCTGACTGTGCAGCCATCTTTGAGAAGTTTGTCAGGTGAGCGGGACTGTCAGATGCCACGATTTATTGAGACTGATTTGTTACTGTGTCATATCGTTGATGACTAAAAAGATAGACAAGTTTCCTATTTTTCCTTTCTTTTCAGATAAGTAAAATGCTCCATCTCCATCTCTATTCTAAAATTACACTTGCTCTTTGAGGCTTGCAGTCTAAAATCAGAGAGTGTGGGCTTTTTTCAGTGACTCAGATGCGTGCAGAAAAAAAGATTCAAAATATAGTATGCCCCACAGAAATGTTCCTTTCTTTTAACAATGCTTTCAAAAAATCTCTTTGCAGGTATCTGTACTGTGGTGATATTTCTCTGCGGCTAGATCAGGCTATTTCTCTACATAAGTTGGCAAGCAAGTACCATGTGTGGGGCTTGCAGGAGGGTTTGACCCAATATATGACTCAACATCTCTCCAGTGATTCACCCACAGGCCACGTGGTTGGTTGGTACAACTATGCTCTACAAATTGGGGACATAACCCTGCGGGACAGCTGTCTGCAGTACCTGTCCTGGAACCTGTCTTCTGTGCTGCAGAGCAGAGAATGGGGCTTCATCAGTGAAGACCTTCTCCTCTCCTTGCTCCAGCGTTCTGACCTCATTCTGCAGAGTGAGCTGGAACTCTACGAGGCACTGGAGGGATGGATTAACCAGAACCAGCCTGTTCGTATGACAGTGGAGAGTGCCCTGAGGGCCGTTCGATATGGCATGATCCACCCTCAGCATCTCTTCCGTCTTCAGAAACATTCCCCCCTCATGGTGAAGTATTATGAGTCAATCCGTGATCTCCTCTATCTAGCTTTCCAATTTCACTCTGCCTCGCCTATCCAGCTTGCCAAGTACTTTGATGTCAACTGCAGTATTTTTACTCCCCGTAACTACCTGTCCTCTGCCTGGGGATCACCTTGGATCATAAACAACCCCACCCGTGACGACCGGAGCTTCAGCTTCCAGACCCAGCTTGGACCCAGTGGCCATGACTCCACTAAGAGAGTGACATGGAACACCCTGTTCTCACCTCGGTGGCTCCCGCTCAGTGCCAGGTCAACTTATACCGAACTGGGTGCTATGCAGCCTACCCGCACGGAGGGAGGTCGACCTCGCATCATTGTAACACCAGCCACTTCAAGCCCTGACTTTGCCGGCGTGAGTTTCCAGAAGACGGTGATTGTAATGACAAAGCAGCAGGGAAAAGTGGTGGTCAAGCATGTCTACAACTTCCACCAAAGCACAGAGGAAGCTGGGGATTTTCTGCTGGATGCTGATCTGCAGCGGCGTGCATCCGAATACCTGATTGACAGCTCCCTCTATCTGCACATTGTAATAAAGCCTCTCTACCATACCCTTCTTGTTGCCAGGAAGTAAAAACAGGAATTCACTGAGGCCTCATCATCAGTGATCCACCCACACAATCACATGCACATATTCCAAAGTACACTCATATCACAATACATGTGTATGTGTCAGATCTGTGACAATCCCAGTGTTGATTAGTTTGTGCATTTTCTTGTCTTCCAACTAGTAAGAAAAAGATTTGTCTCATAAAATAAAGGACTCAAAATAACAGCTCATAAACTGCTCAGCAGTGATTATTACAGTAATGATGATGGGTTTTTCACGTTTTCATCCATATTGAGAAACATTGTTACTGTAGTGTATTTATCTGTTTTTGTGTGGCAGTTTTCCCCTTAAATGTATTCAATCTATGTGATCTAGTAAGAGAAGCAAGGCTGACATGGTTAGAACAGAGTGATAGTGGCTTCATCAGGGTGTTTAATATGGAGCTACCAGAGAGAAGGAAAATATTAAACCACAGAGAAGATTTCTAGATGTAGTGAAGGACATGCAGAGGGTTGGTGTGGTAGAGGAGGATGCTAGGGAGAAGATGAGATGGAGGTGGATGATCTGCTGTAGTGAGCCCTAACGGGAAAAGGTAAAAGAAAAAGAATACGATCTCAATGTTTTTTAATAGGCCAGTAGACGTTTTCCTTTAAAATAAAAATGTTATTGATCTTACTTTTATGCATTTTCTCATCCAGTACTCTGTAATGAAACATTTACTACATGGCACCCAATTCCTGTGATATGCTCCTGTTTGGATCTTGCATGCCAAACAGTGGAAACTGAAGTGAAATCCCATTATGAGTGTTCCTTAGAATAATATAGTTGACTTGCAAGACTGTAGAGACTTTAGGATAATTGCAGCAATTTTAATTTATTTTTCTTCTTCTTCTTTTTATTGTTACACTTGAATGTTGCCTATCTTTTAAAGAAAGTCCCTGTGTGATTCTCCTGGAACAAATAAAAAAATCTGTATGAGAAAACACAATTAGAAAAGAAATGTATGTGGTGACTAGTAAGGATTTCCAAAATAAACTTTGATAAACTAAAATTAAGGTAATCTTTTCCTGTGGGTTTTTTTTTCCTTGGGGGGAGGGGGGGGGGTCTTAGATTACCGGGAAATTGCCTGGAAACTACAGTCCTCGTGATGCTTTGCGCGTGGCCGGACGTACGTCATCGGAACCTTCAGCTGTCAGACTTTGGCCACCCTGCAGGTTTTGTTAGCAAACTAACGCGAACTCTGCGACTTTATTTAAAGTTGTGCATTCGTCTGCTAACCGATTTTGGATCTTAAAAGCTGGCGATTGAAGCGCAAAGCTTGCACGAAGACGAGGCGACTCGTTTTTAATCGCTGCTAGCTCTTGCAACACAAGCCAGCGATATACTGAGCGGGTGTAAGAGTAAATGCAGGGAGGGAGGGAGTAAAAAAAAGAAAAAGAAAAAAAAGGCAAAAGTCTTTGTGCTTCCCTTCCCCCTCATCAAAGCGAAGGGGAAATGTCTCTGTCCAAAGGAGGTAAGTGTCTTTGTTTTGCTCTCTTTAAATTAAAAAAAAATACTTAAGTAAATAAATAGCCGTGCATTTATTGGAAACGCCGACGGGCAGTTTGTGGGGAAGTATTTTAGCTAGCTTTGTATAGGAAATGTAACCTTACCAGGTGGAGAGCTGCATGTATGAGAAGAGGGAAAAGAAGCTAGCCAGCATGTCTCTTCTTCAGCTTCCTATCGTTATACCCACTCCTGACATCCTGGTATCTCGTGGTAGCGTATTCATCACTAACATATTGAAGGCGCTTCCACTCTATACTTTATGTGATTAGTATTATGGCTAAAAGAATACCACCGCGTCGCTTCGTTTAACTTCCCGTGTTGTGGTTAGCTAACAGCATTTTTTTTAAGACAAAAAAGGACTTTCGCCAAACTTGCCCCTCAGCTGGAAATCACAACGCTGCGCTTACCTCCCGTGTTTCTGTAAAGTAGAGCAAACTGGGATTACAGGTGTTTATATTTTTAGTACCCCCCTCCTCTCTCCTGACTTATGAATCATCTATTTTTCGTCTCCTTTTGTTTTGGTCAGTCTGTTAGCGCAAAAGGTATTTTTAGCCTCGCGTCCGTGAAAATACCTTTTGTATTTTTTTGTGCGTGTGTTTGTGGAGTTCCCCCCCCTCGCTGTGGAAATTCTTTTCTTTTTAAAGCAGGCGGCGAGGCTAAGCAGCCAGGGCCAGTATCACAAACAAAAAAAACACACACCTTGGAAAAAAAGTCAAGGTTCTTCCTCTGCGTCACACAGTGCGTGATGATGATCATACCGATGATGTCAATTTACATCTCAAGTTGACCGCTTGTGTTATTACACTATCGCGTTAGCGTTACCAAGACTGGGAGTGCTCGGTGTTTTTGAGACGGCCGGGTTAGATTGGCTGGGTGCTATTCAGACAGTCTCAGCCTTTGGCCTACCATAGCATGTTTTGACTTGCAGCAGTCTGTTGACAGTTCATTTGCTGCAAGCAGATAGCTGCTACACAGGTTCTGTGCTCTTATTACTGCGTGCAAAGCGGGTTGTGGAAGGATTTTTTTTTCCTTTCTTTTGGCCACTACAAGGAGTTGTACTTTCCCCGGTCAGTGGCGGTGTGGGTCTAAGAGCACTGCATGGCATTGTGGAGGCATGTTTGGAGATTGGGTTCTCTCTAACACACTGATAGGGTTGTGTGGAAGATTATCTGGGCATGAGTCATCATTGTCTTTATATGGACCCACTCTAAGGCTGGAACTTCCTGATGGTGACTCGCTGCACACTTTGATCCCATGCACAATCCAGAAATTCTTGTTCACATTATGTATAGCATTGCTGTTCTCTGGGTATTTTCCACTGAACATCACTGGATTTCTAAGAATTCAATATACTGTTTGTAGTGGTTGACCTGAATGAACATCTTCCTGTGTATGAAAAAAAAATAATAATGCAGAATACGTCTAATAATTGCTTATAAAGCAAGTCTTTAGTGCAGACACTGGCATGGTTCCTTTTATGGTTTACTTCTGAAAAAGGCACGAGTTTCTGGGTAAGCACTAGGATTTTTTCCTCCCTAGAAACACTCTCTATTCAGAGCATTTCTGAGAAAATGTCTGTTTCCATAATTTTTTTTTTTTTAAATTCCACGTGCAGCTTGATATACTTTGACTGTGTTTATTGTCATGGCACTATTGTGTCCTCTGAGGCTCAGTTTGCAACAGGGACAACAAGCGAGCCAACTGAAATGACCTCATATTTCCCAAAGGGTCCTGACAGTTTTTGAGTGTTTAAGCGGATGTGTCCCGTCTGACTGGCTGTGACTCATATCCCACTGCCCTATGGTTGCTACAGGGTCACACCGCACACCACATGCTGTGTCCCCAAACAGGACGACTACCTGACAGGAGATCATATTCCAAAGCCACTGAAACGTCACTGCACATAACTCCCACATAACTCAAACTACAACATGCACATATATCTTATTGCTTAGGTAGTTTTTCGCCTGCTGCAGGAGGTCATTGTTAAATGCATTCGAAAGCTTAAAATCAGCTTTGGTATTTGAGATCTGTCAGTAATGTTGCCCTAATTTTGTTGCATGGGGACAGGCTTGTCTTATTTGTCAGGTCATCAGAAGACTGTGAGTGCTCGCGCTTTATCCCACGCAGAGGAAATGCAAAATCTATTTTTGACCGAGCATGTGTGAGTAAATCACACTCAATCTCTCCCTACCACATGAGACTACTGTAGTCTGTCCAGACACTGCAGGCTTATTTTAGGGTTGCAGCACAAAATGGATGTGTCTAGGTTTCATTGGTTGGCTATAGAATCGTTGTAGAAAGTTCACTTCCCTTCCAGCTTGAGCTACCAAAGGAGGGGTTTACCCAAACATACTTCCTCCACACTGTAGTGGTGTGACTCAGTCAGTGAAAGCAAGTAACAACGACAGCTAAAAAATCAAAGTTTTCGCCAATTGTTGCTATTTTTCCTTTCTAAAACTGAAGGTGACTTACTTGCACATTGAACTAGTTTCTCTGAACTATGGTTAGAACAATTACGTCACATCCTAGTGGGCGAAACTGTGGCCTCGCAGTCCCAGCGCACGCAGATAAAAGTAAACAAGGTCTTCTGTTTCTCCTCTCAAGCCTGGAACAAGAGCGAGCATGCTCGACACAAGTGTCAAGAGGAGTCGAAAGCTATTTTCCTCCCCTTGTTGTTCCTCGTAAGCTCGGTAGCTGTGTCATTCTGGCAGAGACTCGCAGCCTCTTGTGGGAAGTCTCAGAGGCTGCTGGTAAACTGTGTTTATGAATGGGTGGCTGTCAGGGAACTAGAAGAGGAACCTCCCACAGCTGCAGAGTTTGGACCATAGTTTGCTCTCCACACAACAAAAAAATGTACAAAGAACTTGAATTTGTTTTTGTAAAGAAAAAAAGGAATGATTGTATTGGTTAAACACGCAAAACACGCCAAGAAGGAAGGCTTGATTCCACTGTACCCCTCACTCCCCCGCTTCATTTGAGTCATCATACCAGTGCTGATTAGTCATTTAGTCCACCTTCTCTCTATGGAAGGGCCTTAGCTTTGGGCACACCTAATCTCCAGTTAGATAACAGGTCATTTGCTTTAGTTTGCGTAAGCGGAAGGCTACAGCAAAGTGATTGACTTTTAAAGTGCTCTTTACTATGAGAACAGAAAAGGAATTAAAAAAAAAAACATATCAATAAGCAAATGTGGATTATTAATAAAAAGGCAGTAGTTGAAACGAAGTATTCTGAACCTCAATTTTCATATTTTGTTGTGCAGACGATGGCAGCTTTACACTCAGTGCCAAATAGCCTTTTAAGTTTTGCAAGAAGAGATGAATAATTGCTCCACTGGAAGGACTGCTAATTATACAACTTGTGGTTTCTACTGCATACAGTTTTCTTGATCACCACGTACTGAGATGGCAATGTTTTATTCATTTGTTTTAATGGTTTTGCTTTAAGGGAGGAAGAAAAGCCATGGGCTGAAGCTGGCCAAAGAAGTTTTTGCAACGCCACCACCAGAAGTAACAGCGTAAGGCTATTTTTAAATATTGAGATAGTGAGCCATGCTTCTCAAAGTTGGCTCAAATAGATTGATAAATCTCAGTTACATTACAACTGAGCATAGAATTGCTGTTGCTTATTTATTTCCCGTTTTCCTGCAGGCCCCCTCGAGCTCTTGACTCTATAACTTGTGTCAAAATTGGAGATAAGGTAAAGCTGGCTCTGTGTTCCTCAGAAACATGCAATTCTATTGATTTTTCCTGAGCTAAATACATGCAATGTCACAACTTTTCACTTCTTGGTCTAGAACTTTGTCGTGAAGGCAGATGACTTGGAGCAGATTGAAGAGCTGGGGAGGGGAGCATATGGTGTGGTGGACAAGATGAAACATGTGCCCAGTGGTGTTATCATGGCTGTCAAGGTAGGCTGCAAAGCTACTACTCTGGCTACCTGATTTATCATCTCTGTAAATGCACTGTGTTTTTAAAATGCTAATATAAGTGATAGATGTATCCGGTATATGACCTCAGCTTGTAAACACTTGGAGCCTTCCAACTCAGTGACTCAATGTTTGAGGGGCAATGTAGATATAAGGA